ACAACAGTAATTAAGATTTTTATACTGATCAGCATTACATATGTAATGAAAAAGATATGCATACAGTCTTATATTCCAGAAATTCTTAGCTCTGTTTCATTTTTGATTCTTATGTTTTTGACCACAAGGAGAAAACTTTTTTCCTCTCCCTCTATTTCTATTTATAAACTGTCTTGAAGGACATATGAGATGATATACTTCTTATGCAATATGTAAAAATTTTAATTTTACCACTTAATATATTAATTCTAAAGAAACCCAATTGAAGTTGTTCATAGGCCTTCAGAAATCAATTAAAGAATCATGGAAAGGGGAATTTATGCAAGAATTGTCAAGGAATTTTTGCAAAAACAATGACAGGTTTGGGTTAGATACTGAAACACATTTGTCCTGGGTTAGGTGCCCTAGAAGGACATCCAAACAATCATTTTGTTCAGGTAAGTTTTTGGTGGGAGGGATGCTTCTTTGAGAAAAGAAGGGCAGGCCAAGGGAAAACTATTATTCAATCACATGGTTTCAGAAGACCTGATTCCATGGAGGGAGCATTGGAGGTCAAATTGCTCTATGAAGTTAGTCCTATCCGTTGCTAGGGGCTGTTTTGTAGCACCCTTATTGTAGCGAGTCATGCCTGAGGTGTGCCCTGGCTGGGGGTGGAGTGGTACATTGTATCTGAGCAAGTGGATCCCATTCAGTGAGGGTCACTGGCCCCAGAAAACGGCAGCTATGAATAGCAACTGGGTGATGGATGCAGAGGTTGGGAAAGGAGTCTGTTGAGATACTGGCAACATTCACCACAGCATTACAAGCTTGAAAAAGGAAAATGCTGCAAGCATCAGCAACAGACACGCAGTGCTTGCAGCAGAACTGTGGGTTATGGGACAGGAGAAGGGATCCATCGGTGTTCTGCTTCAGGGCTCACTTTATTTCCTTTCCTCACTCATGAGCATCCGGACTACTTTTCCAGTTATTAATCAACACATTTTCTTTCACTTTGATAGCTTTGAAACTGGAAAGAAGACTGATGAAGTAGAAGAACAGGAGGAGCCTAACGGTTGGGGGTTGTGAAGAACAAGAGTGGGAATCTGTAAGCAGATGGAGGCATTTCAGTGTTTCTCAGATTGCAATAAGAACTTAAGCATGTGAGTGGGCCACTACAGGAGAGGGAAAAGGGTCAGGGTAGTGATATATGGTGGACATTTGTGGTGGACACTTACAAGGCACAGAGTGGTGGCATAGTGAGAGCCCACAGGGAGGCCAGAGCAAAGTGCAGAAGGGTGCATAGTTGGGGAAAGGGCAGAAAGGCTGATGAGGAATCTCCAAATGGGAAACAGTGGAATGAGTGGAGAAAAAGTATCTTGCAAGAAGTGAGAGAAGGAGGGACGATAGGAATGGAATGGGACCTTCCTTCCTGCTCCCAAAGAAGACTTGCTGTTCTTATGATCCTAGGGGAAAAGCGGTTTCCCTGTGGAAGCAGATGGCAAAGGAAAGACTTCACAAAAAAGCAGAGGCTATGAAATGGGGCAGAGTCCAGGGGCCATAGAGAAAGGACTTAGAGAACACAAACTGATAGGGACGTTATTGTCAACTGAGGAATTTTATGTCATTTAAAAAAGCTAACATTTTCATTTCATTAGTATACAGCCTTAATTCTATAAGTGGTAAGTCTCACTCAATTTGGATATTTTCAGTGACAATTAAAAAACAAGCTGATTAAATACTGCTTTGAATTTTGCTTAAAGAGCTGTAATCGAAAAAAAAGTTTAATTAAGTGAATTGTGAGTATGGAGACAGGTATGTACAGATGCCATGCCCTTAAGGCTGCCTCTCTAAGGAGGCTCTACTTCAGGGGAGCTAAAATGCCCTTCCAAGAGCTGTTGCTTAGCAACAATGACTAATCTTCACACCCTTTGTTGGAGACCAAAGCTGAGACTAATCTAAAGTTTCTTCTGATGAACTAGTAGAGCCAGTAGGAATGCTCCAGGGCTGGCAGGAAAAACTGGAATTTGGAGGTTTAATGCCCTAGTGAAGTTTTATTCCCCCTTTGACAGTGCTGTTTTGCTGAATTCAGTGAAGTTGTTGGATATTTATAAATTATTGGTGATTAGCACAGTGTCTGGTATATAGTAGATTTAATAAGATTTATTGAGTGAATTAAAATGAGAATTCTTAATAGATTAAATATTTGAGAACAAGAGTGGTTTTGTGTGACATGAGAGCACACAAGCATACCTGTGTGTGTGAAGCTGCCTGCCCAAATTCTTTTTTTTTATTCTTCTAGTAAGAGTTTTTTTTTTGTTTGTTTTTAATTTAAATTTTATTCTTTGCATTTGACACTGAAAAATAATGTAACTGCAAAACAGATTTTATTACAGAAAATGGCTTGTCCAGACAAAACGCTGCTCATCTGTGGTAAGTAAAGTATGCATTTAATTGATGTTTTCATCAACCCATAAAAACTGGTACTTCCCAACCTCAGCTGCACATCTGTGTCACCTGGAGTGACAAAAATTCTGATGCCTGTTTCTCACTCCATGGATGCTGACTCTGTCCAGGATAGGATTTAGGCATAAATATTTAAAAATTCCTCAGGAGATTTTAATGTGCTTCCAAGGTGCAAAACCACTCCTCTAAACAGTTTTTCTGAAGTAACCTAATAGCGTTAGGGCTTAAAGCCCACTCATGGGTTCCCCCTATTGGCCATAATCCGTTTGAGTCAGTCATTTTAATTCTGCTTTGAGTCCTGTCTTGAACTTCTGACTTTAGTCTTGTTTTGTTCTTTTGTTAATTTAGATATCTTCATGTTTCACTCCAATAAAAAAATTTCTAAGGGATTTTGCAGAAGTTAGAATTTAAATTCATTTTGTTCTCAAATGAGGGAGTTCCCTCAGATTCCAGGTTCCATGCAAAATCACAGTACTTGAGATCCATAAATGTGAAAAGAATTTTAAGGTGTCACACACAAAAAGGAGAGTCTCACAAGATGAAAGTTTTAGCAAGGATTTATTTTAGCATAACAAGGTAAAAGTAGGGAGAAATTTAAAAAAGGAAAAAGCACCTTCTGTTAGAAGTGTACTAAAAAATGCCAGCCTTTTTCTGGGATCTATGTGTTCTGGAAATATATGTCATCAAGTCAAAGTATAGCAACCCTTAATCATTAGACAGTGGTTCTGGGGGATCAAGATGGGTGCCATTTATTATTCTAAAGTGCTAAAAAGTGATCTAGGTCACCCAGAACACAGGGACAGTAGGCGTTTTAGGTCTTTCTTTTGGTAGGTAAGTTTTTAATTTTTTCTGTCTCTCTGCCTATTCAAGAAGGCTTGCAGCTTCTTAACATTTCAACAATGAAGGCAAATGCAGATAGCCCCTCCTGCCTCCCTATTTTTTTATTTAACTCTAAAAGGAGGTGGTAGAAGGAAGCTTTTTTTCAGTTTTTACTTCCTAGTTCTAAAGTCTGAATCCCACCCTTTTAATATTTATTAAAATACTATAATTTCCCTATCTCCTCCTCAATCTAGTCTGGTTCAACTTTCTCTATGTCTAAAGTACATACTATTTGAGCTATAGCTAAAAATACAGTGTTGACAACCTCAAGTGCATAACTTTATGACTATAAGGAAAATATCAGGAATTAAGTCCTCAGTTTTGTCATAAACTTTGCATGCTATTTTTATTAGGGAAATTATCATTGAGAAACCAAAGGTTGTTTCACTGGAAATACAAACTCTAATGACTAGGGAGAGGCAGAGAGAGAGCTATAAATTAAAGACCTCAGCTACTCATTTTACAAAGGCTTCTTAGTTCTTTGTCCAGTCATCTCTGGGTCTCCAGGAGCCAGGTAAGTTCTTCCTCAGTTCCAATTTAAGACTCCTGTGTTTTGAGCACATGGATGTTTGTTGATTTGAAATAAATATTTTCATTCTTGGAGTGGTTCTATTTAATTCAGTGCTTACATGGCCAAAACAATGTATTTCATCAATTTGTTTGACAGTAAGTTAATTCATCTTATTTCTGAGTAAATATGTAAGGAAATGAGCTGAGATTGAAGCTACTACAGCAGATTTACAATGTTCTAGCAGGGAAGAACCTCCAAGGCCCCTGAAGTATGTGAGCCTTCAAAAACTTTATTCTGCATTAATCTTATTCTTGTTTTTAGGATTCTATGTAAAGCTTTTATTAAATAGTTGTAGAGTAGTGGGTGATGAGAAAACATAAAACGTCCTCATGTTGGTTATTTTGGTAAAAATATTAATTGCTCTTTAAAAATTACTTTTTTGTGAGATAACAGTAATATTAGCTCACTAAACAAACTTGAAATAATACAGAAAAGTACAAAAAAGAAAACCTTCCACCTCACCTACTAATCCCTGATTTAATAATCAATCCATGACTAGAGCTATTTCATTGGTCTTTAGGAAAAATTCAGCCCAGAGTCAAGTTTCCCTGGGATTAGGGACTGGGGTTTAAGAGAATGAATCTGTTCTGCCATTCTCTAGATTGGATTTTGGATTCACTGAGAAATAGATGGTGTCAGACAAGGATTCAAGTGTTGGCTTCATTACTGTTGATCTGGATTGAAAAACACTGCTTGGGCAAAAAGCCAGTGGAGATTCCTGCACTTTTTGAACCCCACTTTGTCACAGGCTGAGCAGTTGGGCATCAATGGGTTGTGGATTGGGTTTGCTGGAGGAAGCTGGTCACAAGGAGGAGGCAGTGGGAGGCAGAGGCAGGCGTGCTCTGACAAGAGAACAAGAGAGGATAGAACCATTAAGGAGTTAACCTTGCTCCCTGGGGGAAATAAATTGGTTGAAGTCAAATTCCCTGCTGACTCACTTCTCCTGTCAAGAGATGGGGGGAGACAAGGTAGCAGTGACTGTATTGAAAGGGTGAAATTCCTATTTTCTGAGTCAGTGCAGGTAGAGTTCCTGGGACACAGAGCAGTCCTATCCAACTGTTCATTGTTTTTTGTTACTGTTGCTGTTTCAGATCTCAAGAAAGTCATCATGGATTCACTCAGTGTAGCAATCACTCAGTTTGGGTTTGATCTTTTCAAAGAACTGAAGGAAACAAAAGATGGTAACATCTTCTTCTCCCCTTTGGGCATCTCAACTGCCATTGGCATGCTGCCCCTTGGGACTGGAGGAGCTACCGCCTCACAGTTACAGAAGGTGGGGGCTTCCTTTGCTTTGCAGACACAGATTTATTTCTGGGGCACAACCATCTAGCGTTAGCTTTAAAATATGCTCATCCTGACCTGTGGACCAGGAAACAAAGACTATGAAGACAGACGTGGAGCAATTTCCTTCTCTCAATACCATCACGCCACCTGCTGCTCCTTGGTGTTTAACATTCCTTCGAGTAGGGGCTGAGAGGCCTTGTCCAAAGCCATCACTCTCATAATTAAAGACGGGCATGAAAGGCAAAACTACTGAGAGAAGTAGCATCATCGTCACTTAGTATAAATGACACATCAAAGATGAATATGTAAATAATCTCCTCTGAAGAGATCATTGGACACCCAGACTTTCTCTTGATTTTGCAAGGAGATAAATATTATCTGTGGATCACCAGGGTTTCTAGAACAAACCTCCACTTTAACCTGACTGATTCTTTGTGAGCTTTTTTTCCTGCTTTGATGACTGCAATAATGTTTTCTCTCTACTAGGTGTTTTACTCTGAAAAAGACAAAGAAAACTCTGGAGTAAAGGCAGAAGAAAAAGAGGTGAGGACATGTGTTTTACAACCTTCTGTAAGATTACTTTTTAGGTGTGGTTCACTGGGGAAAGGACTGGGAATGGCATAAAACAGGAGACATGTCAAATTTATTAGTAAGCACTAATACTTACCATAGTTAAATATTGCTATTACTCTACTTCTCTTGGTATAATAAAACACTAGAGGCTGAGTACTTTATAAACAAAAGAGCATTTTTATTTAGCTCACAGCTTTGGAAGCTGGAATTTCATGATTGGGTGGCTTCAACTGTTCAGTTTCCAGTGAGAGGCCCCTGGGATGCATTACAACATGGTGGATAAGGGGAAAGAGAACCTGCCATATGCAGAGGGGCCGACGTTGTATACTGGCTTTACTTTATAACAATCCACTCTTTTAAGAACTAACTGACTTTGTGAGACTAGCATTAATCTTTTCTGAGGGCAGTGCCTCTGGTGATCTAACCATATCCTTCACTAGATCTTTTCTTGTCATCTCTTAGCATCACTGCACTGGGGAGCAAACCTCGAGAACATGAACCACTTCCAGATCATAGTGCTAGTCTTATATAATAACAACAAATCTATGATTAAGAATAGATCATAACTTTAATGGAAAATAACCACTGTGAAGGCTTTCAGGTTGAAAATTTCTTACAGCAGAGTGGATGGTGTTTGGGTTAAAGTCCTAACTCAGTCACTTAAGGACTGTGCTTTGGGCAAGTTACTTATCATCCATGAGCCTCTGTAAAGTGCCCAGTAGGAGAATCCAGGACACAGAGATAATTTATTCAGTTGTGGTGGTAGTCATAGGTTATATTATCAATAATCCCTTTTATATTTTGTTGACATTTTATTTAAGAAATTAGCACAGGATCATTGGTCTTCCAGGGTTTCTCCCAGCTCTGGTTTTCTTGTATCTCTCACTCCATCTTCCCAAATATGGGAAGGGGTTAAGTCCCTTAGGCCAGGGCTAGCATTAGGAGGTAGTCAGAGCTCTCAGGAAAGATGTAGTTGCTCTGACAGTAGTCATAATCCAGTTCCATCCCCTCATAAATTCATAGCTCAAATCACCTTTGCAATGGGAGCTGTTTATTTCATAATCCCAAAAGGCTAGGTTGTCTGGGTGGCTCAGTTGCTTTCAGGGTTTGCTCAACAGGGTTTGGGTCAGGTACCTGCCCTCATGTGTACTCAATTAAGGTGTGCAATTGTTTCCAGAGTGCCTTCCCTCCCAAGTACAGTAGTCCATGCTGAACTTTTGTGCAAATTAGACACAGACACAATCCTTGGATAGATGCCCTGATCCTGGATGGAGGGCTTATGACTGAATGGAACTTGAATTTCAGCTTTGGGTAGGCACAACCTATACAACCATGTGAGGTAGCTCTGTCCCTTCTACAGGTTTTTTGGGTGGTGCTGAAAAGGTACGAAAAGCTAATTACTGACTGCTGAAAGAAGAGTTTGACTGGAGTGCATTTTAGAGGCTATTTAATCCTCTTTACTAGATGAAGAAACAGATAAGTAAAGTGATTTGCTTATCTGAACCAGGCTTCATGTGTACCATTTGATTATCACACAAGTTCAGGGTATTCTGAACCTTGCCCTTAAAAATGGCTGTTAAATTCTTAAGACCTATGTACGAACTGCATAAGGAATAAAAGAAGTCATGAGTACCCTTTAATACCTCCTTCCAGTGGAAGAAACAAACCATTACCATACCTTCTCTGAGTGCCCATCTCCTTCTGAAAGGAGGTTCCACTGTCCTGAGTTAGATATTTAACATTCCCACAAACTTATTTCTTTGCATACAGCATCCTTTAACATTGTTCTTTGCAACTTGATTATTTTGGGTTCTGCATTATGCTTGCAAGATTCATCTATTTCATCTATTTACTTGTAGCTCTGGTTGATTCATTTTCACAGCTCTTTATATATTTATCCTATTAATGGGCCTTCTCTCCCCCCCTCCCCTCTCCTTCCCTTCCTATCTTCTTTTCTGGGTATTCTGTAGATATTTTCTTTGTAATTGCCTTTGCAATTACATAAAACATCTTAAACTTGTAACAATCTATTTTTTGAAACTGATAACCACTTAACTTCAAGCACATGTAAAACTATGCCTTTATATCTCTCTACTGCTTTGTGATATTGATGACACAACTGACCTCTTTTATGCTGCAGATTCATTAATGTAGATTTATGGCTATAATTGTATACTTAAAAAAATCCCATACCAGATTTAGAAGTGATTTTTATACTTACATTACAAATTACAGGATACTTTTTTTTCCTATATATTTATTTTTCTAAGAGAGTTTTAAAAAAAATGTTTTCATGTGGTTTTATGTTCCCACATTCCCTCATTTCAATCTGAAAAGACCCCACGTAGCATTTCTCATAGGACAAGTCTAATAGTGGCAAAGTCCCCCATCTTTTGTTTATCTGGCAAAGTCTTAATTTTCCCTTTGTTTTTGAAGGGTTTTTTTTTCTTTTAGTATACTAAAAATATTATCCCATTCCCTTCTAGTCTGTAAAATTTTGCTAAAAAATCCCCCTAAAACCAAACCAAAACAAAACCTCTCATAATCACCTCTCATAGTCTAATAGAAGCTCCCTTATATGTTACAAGTTGCTTTTCTCTTGCTACAATTCTTTCTTTGCGAGTTTTCACAGTTTTATTATGATGTATTGCTGTGGAAAGCCCTGTAGGTTTGTCCTAATTGGAATTCCTTGAGTTCCTCCTGTTGTTTTTCTCTGCAATTGCAGACTCCAGGGCACCTTGAACACCTTTATTCTCACTTGAACACCTTTATTCTCAGTGCATCCCAACTTGGTACTTTGTTTTGTTCAGAACTTAAATTCACATAAGTCAGAGACCAGTCCCTCAGGCAACTCCCCCAAAAGTCAAAATGATGGCCATTTTTTTCACTCTTTTGTTTCTGTCCTCAGGGGAGAATCAGGAGTTGGGACTTTTCTCCCAGTCTCATAATGCTATGTTGGCAAGGAGTTCTGGTGAGTGAGTGCTAAGAATTTTTCTTCTGGATTCCAATGTAATTGAAACCTTCTTGCCCCAGAGCTGCATGTAGTTGACTTTATACTCACCTGGGAGTACGTGGACTTCTTAACTGGTTTCTATGTTTAGAAACCTTAGCATCTCCACCTTCTTGTTAATTTGGTGTCTCTATGTGGAAAGATGGTTTGGAGCTTCCCATCCTGCCATAGTGCTGGTGTCACTCCTTGGCAGTTTCTTTAGTAAAGGTTTTCACATAATAGATGCCATCAAGTTGTATTTGCCTTTGCTTGTTTGAATGGAGGTTTAGCTGAATATTGAATATAGGTTGATATTTAGTCTCAGTCCTTTGGAGACATCATTCCATTCTCTTCTTCTCATGTTGGCTTAATTGGCATTCTTGGTAGGTGATCTATCTCTGGCTGCATTTAAGTTTTCCTCATTGTTTTGTTTTTCTTTGATTTTTACTGCAGTGTGTCAAGGTTAGAATTTATTTTGTTTGCCATGATTTTGATTTATTTTGATTTCTGAATGTAAAAATTCATACCTCTTATTAATTCTGGAAAATTCTTAGTTGGTGATTTTTTGAACAATGCATTTCCTCTACTTTTTCCTTTTTTGCCTTTTCAAAGAATGCTAGAGTTCTTATTGTATTGTTCAGATTTCTTAATGTCATACCTATTTTTCATCACTTTTTGTCTTTGTTGTGCTGAGAAAATTGTTCATCACAATCAGCAATGCTTAACAGGCTGTTTAACCATCCATTGAGCCTTCTCTTGCATCAACCTCCCAAGTTTTGGGATTACAAGCATGAGCTAACATGCCCAGCTCCGTCTGTCGAGCTCTTAATTTCAAGGCTTGTTGAATATTCATTTCTAGGACTTGCTGTTGATTGTTAAACCAACCTAGAAACGTATGTTCCTTAAACATATTTTCTATTTTGGGGGATTAGCATTCTCAATATAGTTTTATTTCTAAATGTGACAGCTGTTAATGTCAACATCTAAATACCTGTATTGTGGCTATATTATGGTGGTTTGGTATTTTTTTCCTGATTTTTAATTTGGGACTTTTTTGCTCATGATTTATAATTTTGGAATATGAGCTCATATTTGGCTGATAATATGTGGGAGTAAAGTGAAGCCTGTGATGTAGTTACTTTTCTAATAAAGATTTTTTTTCTGAAATAAGTTCTTGATCTATTACTAAACCAGGACCAATTTAAGTTAATTTCTTAGTTTGGGGTTTCCTAAGATGCAGAGGAGTATAAATTCAAACCCCAAACTGTTTGACTGCAAGTCTTTTCTTTCCTGATCCATTTGTAGGTCATTTTTGTCACAACTGTCTCACTGCAGAAATATAGTTGCATCAATCCCTTCTTGCCCAAAGGCTGCAATACTTGATCTGCTCCCAGCACATCCCAGTCAACCCACGCAGCCAAAAAATTATCATCAGCCATTTAAAAGCTCATAGTAAACAAGGGGATAGCCAAAGGTCAAATTCAGCCTCATGGATTTTGTTAGAGCAGCATAATTTTATATTTCAATGTTGTTATTATTATTATTATTTTATCATTATTATTAAAGGGGTTCTTGGGGTTGAACTCAGAGCCTGTGTTTGCTATGCAGGTACTCAACCAACTGAGCCACTCTACCAGCTTACATTTGAATCTGAATGTCTTCACATGTTTATTAATTATTGAGAAAAATTAAATTGTCCATTTTTTGGCAGATACTACTCTAGGTATTGGGGAACCAGACAAGTAATAAAGAGATAAAATAAATAAGAAACAAACAATCCATAAGGCTCACATTCTAGAGAAAGATGGCTTCTGTTTTTAGGCACAATCAGGAATAGTTAATTCACTTCAAAACTAAAATGGCTCTCCATCTAATCCACTGTAAATTAAAGCATTCAGACAATACTCAGTAGTTGATGTGACATAATGTGACATGACATGGCTTTGCTATGGAGTGTTCCTCAAACCTCCATCAGAAAAATGATGGATCCTACAGGAAATTTCCAGTTTAAGGGATAAATTTCAATTACCCCATCAACATATTTTTCTTTCTTATTTATTTGTTTATTTATTTCTTTATATTGTGCTGGAGGTATGTTGTGGCATTTATAAAAGTTCTTACAATATATCAAATATACTTGAATTCATCCCCTTCATCATTCTCCTTTATCCTGTTTTCCCGCTATTCCTGGAAGTTTCAACTGGTCTCATTTTTCCAGTTACATACATGTATATACTATGTATGCATAGTTACCCTCCTACACCCTTTCCTCACATCCTCTCTCATCCCACTGGTAACCCCCACCACAGGACCTGTTCTGTCCTCCTATAAGAGATAATTTTCTTATCAAATATCTAGAACATAAATTTCTAAACTTTGCAGGATAAGAATGATATGTGGATAATGTATGGAACCCTTAGTGGGCAATTACATTTCAGACCTAAACTGCAACTTGAATTAGATACGCAAGATATGTGGTGTTGGGCTTGTGGCGAAAGTTTCTTCATGGACTGAGATTGGGTGTGGCTTTTATGTTTGTGATGTGGGTCAAAGCCAACTGACCACGTGAGACGTCAGAGAACCCAGCCTGTGCTCAAGGATGTCCAATGGAAGGAAAGATCCAGTAGCCACATCCTGTTGGAGGAGAATGTAGGCTTGCTTTTGCCAAGATAACCCTCTGAGGTTTTGTCTTTGAAGATTGAGAAGTCAGAAGAGATACACCACCAATTCCAAAAGCTTTTGGCTGAAATAAGCAAACCCACTGATGATTATGAACTGAACATAACCAACAGGCTATTTGGAGAGAAAACATACCTCTTCCTTCAAGTAAGTTTTGCTGTGTTTACTCCCTCTATAAATGGTGGTTAACAAATGTCCAAATGCCTGTTTGGATGTGGATTCTGGGAGCATGCTGCCTAAGTTGGCTGCTTTATTCCACTCACATCTCTAGTGGTCTTTCTGGTCTGCTCTCCAGACATTCAGCTTCTTTTTAGTTCTGGAAATCTGTACCTGATTTTTTCCCCTAATCCTATGTACTTGTGTAAAAATGTGCATGGAGATACTCAAAAGTCATTTTCCTAGGACCTGAAAATTCTTGTTTTGACATTAGATGTCTTAATGAACAGAAAAAAATATTGGTAAATGTTGGTAACTGGTAAATTGACTTTCAACCTCTTTCTATTTCTTTCCTATTTCTCCTAAAGAAATACTTAGATTATGTTGAAAAACATTACCATGCATCTCTGGAACCTGTTGATTTTATAAATGCAGCAGATGAAAGTCGAAAGAAGATTAATTCCTGGGTTGAAAGCCAAACAAATGGTAGAGTATGGGTGGTTTATTTATCATAAAAACACTTCTTGACCACCTGTTTTGAGTGAATCCCTGGGCTTGACACTGCATAGGTTCCTTTTGGAAAGAAACTCGAGATGGATTTTGCAGGGTTGAAAAGGAAGTGGTGGGTATAAGAGAGGGGAAGGGCACTGCAGATGGTGGGAATGTCACAGTCAATGTGGAGAGATTCAAGGGGAACCAGGAGGAGGACCACAGGAACCAGCCACATGGAAACACAGCTGTTGATCACAATACCTTTGGGGTTCCTGAAGCTGAGCTCATGACTGTCTTGGGTTTAAATCCTTTCCCTTATGTCAGAGTCTTTTTTACCTTTGAGTCTGAGTCTGTAAGTGCAATTGTCACAGAGAGGAGTTCTCTTTTTAAGTGAAAAACCTACAGGTCTCCTATTAAGACTTGTCTTTGCTACCAAAAGCTGGACTCACCTGGGCTTCATCTCTACTTGGACATCATGCAGGGATGATACATCTTTTAGTCCATCCACAGCAGAGAATTTGATGAATCTCTCACCCTATCCTCATCCCTCATCCTCATACGAAAAGTGTTGGAGAGAATTATTAATATAGAAAGTCATGTTGGGCAGCAATAGATTATACTATTTAGAGTTCTGGATTTCATTTTCTTATTGTTAGGGAGCTCTCCATTATTATGGAATGCATTTTTCTTCATGCCTAATGTAAAGAAAGAAAATTAAAAGAAGCAGAAAATAAGGGGTCTAAAGTTTGACTGAACAGTATTTTTTGGAATTTAGTTTGGGATGGGCCAAACCAAGAGCCCCACATTTCAATTCCTTTTCAAATAGAAGTAGTCTCTAAACCTCAGGTGAGAACTGTATCACATTTATAAGAGTAAATGTGCCAGATAGTGTTCTGAGCACTTACTCCTTTCAGCAACCCTGTGAGGCAGGTTTTATTCCTACTTTACAGATGAGGCGCAGAGAGCGTAAATAACTTGCCCAAGGATCCTCAGCTAAGAGGCAAAACTGGAGGTGACCAGAGGCAATCTGAACATTTAGCTATCAACCGCAATTTGGCCCTTGGGATAAGTAGGGAATGGGTGAAGTGAGAATCTCCACACCGGCTCTGCCAGTGAAGCTTTTGTGGGGAAGGCCTTCTGGTGTTGACCTGGCTGAGATGCTAATGGTCACTAAAGTCCATCTGCATCATATCTGTTGCATGTGAGATCTGTAACTTGGAAGATAGGCTAATCTTTTCTGTTCATTTGTTTGCAGAAAAAATCAAGGACCTGTTTCCAGATGGCTCTCTTAGCAGCTCCACCAAGCTGGTGGTGATAAACACAGTTTATTTTAAAGGGCAGTGGGACAGGGAGTTTAAGAAAGAAAATACCAAGGAGGAGGCATTTTGGTTGAATAAGGTACGGTTCTTTATTTACATGATGTACTTTCTTGTGGCATTGTGATCAAAAGTCATATTTGAACAAATGCATGTTGGTAGGTGGCAAATGCTCACTTTGTGCAACTCTGACCTTTAGCACTGTTTTAGGATGAACTGGTCATTTCAGTGAGCTGCTTGACTGGCTATGCCCACAGCCTTCCGTCTTTGACACTGGTGCTCTGTCGATTTGTTGCAGAACACAAGTAAACCCGTGCAGATGATGGCACAGAGACACTCCTTTAGCTTCAGCTTCCTGGAGGACCTGCAGGCCAAAATTGTGGGAATTCCATACAAAAACAATGACCTCAGTCTGTTTGTGCTCCTGCCCAATGACATAGATGGTCTGGAGAAGGTAAACACATCTTCCTAATCTGACTTTCATTTCCAAAGGCTTTGTGTCCTGATGCCTGTTCTAGGAGAACCTGGAAATGGCTTCTGAACAGAAGTTGGTGTCTGGCAGTGTCAAATAGAAAGTATATCTCCCTCTGTGCCACAGCTACAGGTAAATGTCTACCAAGGGGCATTAAATGGAATCAGGATGACTGAGAATAACCAGCATGCAAATATTTTGGGATGAGCTAAAATGAACATTTAGGATTATACAGGAGTTAGTTCTGAAGATTCTCCTGCTGTTCTGAGAAAGGATTGAGATCTATGGTCTCCTTTCCCAGAAAAAAAATCACCACGTCCACACACTGAAAATTTTGCATGTGATTCAGTAGCCCTTGGACTTGGAAGTTCTTTCTTTGACCGGTCTTGAGCCCATTGATTTAGAACATCTTACTTTGTCGATAAAACCTGAATGTGGCTGATGTCTTATATTCTGGAAATCATTAAGGGTTTTTTTCAAGTTCTTGTTCTTTTAGTTGCTCTCTGATCGTGAAGCTTCTTGACTCCCTTATACCTCAATATTTTCCTACCTATAAATTGGGCCACATGTGCTTAAGGCATGGTGTTGCTGCATGATTAGGGAAATGTAGCTAGACTATGTGGAGGACATGGAAGGCTCTCAATGCATTACAGCTGCTGTAGGATGCAATTCCATGTGCTGTGAAATTTCACTGGTAGCATTATAAATTGGAAAAGATTTTTAGGGTAACAATTAATAATATATATGAGAGATTTAAGAGTTAAAAAAAAAGCTCTGGAGAGGTGCTGGTGGCTTGTGCCTTTAATCTTGGCTACTTGGAAGGCTGAGATTGGGAGGACAGTTGTTTGGGGCCAGCCTCAGCAAATAGTTTGAGAGACTGCCCATCTCCGAAATAACCAGAGCAAAATGGACTGGAAATGTGGCTCATCTGGTAGCATGCCTGCTTTGTAAGTGCAAAGCCCTGAGTTCACACCCCAGTTCCACCGAAAAACCAGCAACAATAGTGTTGATCAAAAAAAAAAGAAAAACTCAGGTGTGGAAATTACTCTGAGGAAGTAATTCAGAAAATAAGAATTGTCTTTCTGAGTCAAATCAGTAATATCAGCATCAAATATACTAGCTTGAAATCCATAGTAGTTGTTATTTTTCCATCTGCAGTATTTATCAGAATCTATCATAATGCCTGATACATACTAGATGTTTGTAAAGTGAGCAAATAAATAAATGCTGGTCAGAATTTATCAGCTTGATGGGAATATTACCTAGCAGTTTAAAGACATTCAGGAGAGATATGCAGTAGTGTGAAATAGTTAAATTTTATAAAATGGATATTCATTGTAATTGTAATTATAGAGGAAGATAGTAAAAAATGAAATGCACATTAAAATGATAGAAGAAGAAATGATATTTTAAAGCCAGGTGTGGTGGTAAGCCACTGTAATTCCAGCACTTGGGAAGCTGAGGCAGGAGAATTTCAAGTTCAAGTCCAACCTGGGCAAGTCTAAGGCCAGCCTGGGCTACCCAGTAAGACCCTGTCTCCAAACAAAACCAAAACCAAAACCGTTTTAATCTTTAAAAATAAATTTAAAGCTAGTGGATTTTCACATATACACATATAGTAGTTAAATGGAGAAATATAAGGCCATTAATTGTCTTCTATATAAAGACAATAGTGTATGGAAATGAAATGTTTACATTTATTACTAAAATTAATTTCTGACTGATATAAATTAATGCTCCACTGTTAAATTTTTATTGGTAATTGTGCTAATCTGACTTCATTTTTTAAAAAAAAAATAGATTATAGATAAAATAAGTCCTGAGAAATTAATAGAGTGGACCAGTCCTGGGCACATGGAGGAAAGGAGCGTGGACCTGCACTTGCCGCGCCTGGTGGTGGAGGAGAGTTACGACCTTGAGCCTGTGCTGGCAGCCTTGGGGACACGCGAGGCCTTCAGCGCGGACTTCTCGGGGATGTCCCCGCGCTTCCACCTGCACGCGCACAAGTTTCGGCACAGGTCTCTCCTGGAGGTGACCGAGGAGGGCGTCCAGGCTGCTGCTGCCACCGGCATTGGCTTCACCGTCTCTGCTGTCCCGGTCTGTGAACTCGTCCACTGCAATCACCCTTTCCTGTTCCTCATCAGGCACAACGCATCCGACAGCATCCTCTTCTTTGGCAGGTTTTCCTGTCCCTAACACGTCTTGGCCACGACGTGGTTTGTCTTAGACAGACCAGCCCGCAGAGTTGGAGTGTTAATGCCACCACGGACCTGTGCACGCATTTAATTTCGTTTACTTCTTGCATTCCAACCTTGCTATTAAATCAGTGATTTAATGATGGTAGCAGTGTAGGTTGGTAACAATATACGTTTGTAACTTTCCTGAAACTCAGACGACATTTTGCTTGTGATGTGCGTAAGGCGAGTCAAAGCCGAGCTCAGTCACACTCCCCTCCGTCACCCCTGAAAGCAAGTCAGGATTTTGTGCATTTTTTTTTTTTTTTTGTGCACTGTAGGGAGAAATGCTATCTTTAACTAAAAATGAGGACTCTTTGGAGGATTTGAGGGGGGTCCATCTATTTCTAGTATTTTGGCATTTTGAAATGCTAAATTCGTGTGTTTCTTTTTTCTTTCTCAACAGATATTGTGGCAAACTATAGGAAAGAGTTTAGAACCACTAAGAAAACAAGTTAAAATTAAAGTGCAGAACAAAAGAAAACAATGCACCTGGCAGGGAGAAGTCCCTTAGTTTTGTCTTCCATTCTCACAGTGCATTACTCCTTGTCAGTTTCATAAACATTCTGGTATTAGAAATGGGTGTGATGGTTGAGACGGAAAGCCTGAAACTCCTACCTTGTTACTCTTTAGTCTTTGGAAAGCAGTGTTTGGAGTAATCTTTAGAAGAATAATAGTTTTTTCTCTTTATTCCCATTTACATATCCTGTTTTTTTTTTTTTTTAGTGAATTATGGATTTAACAAATGATATTTTCTTAAAGATGGTTTTTGAAAAACTCTGAATGTGTTTCTTTTGGTCTTCACTGCGAACCTGTTTTACTTGAACTTTATCAGGTTTTAATGAGATCACATAACTGACTTTTTTTTTTTGTGCTTGCCTGTGCCTGTGCTTGCTAGCAGAGCTCTACCAATTTGAGGCCTGCCCCTCCTCCCCCAGTTCTTTGCCTTTTGAGTAGGTGGGATTAAGAAATGAGCCACTGAGCCTGGCTTACTGATTTATTTTTAAACAACTTTAGAGCCATAATTTATAAACCTAAAATTCACAGATTTTAAATTACAATTCATTGATTTTTGGTAAATTTCTAGAAGTTGTGCATCTATCACAACTAAATTTTAGGACATTTCTGTCACCCTAAAAGTTTCTTTGTGCCTATTCTTATTCTTATCTCTAATCCAATGCAATCACTGATTTATTTTCTGTTTTTATAAAATTTCTTTTACATTTCACCTAAATTGAATCATACAATATATAGTACTTTGCGTTTGGCTTTTTTTTTTACTTAGCATATTATTTTCAAGGTTCATCCCCTTGGAGTATGTATTGATTCTTAATTCCTTTTTTATTGTTGAAAGTAGTTCATTTTGTGGATGCATTTTGTTTATCCATTCATCACTGATGGACAGGTGTATCGTCTCCAGTTTTTGTCCGTTATGAATAATGTTGCTGGGAACATTGTATAAAGGTGTTTCTGAGGACCAGTGTTTCATTTCTCTTGGGCAGATTTCTAGGAGTGGAATTGCTGGGTCATATGATAGTAGCTTTTCCAGAAACTGTCAAACTCTTTAGTAGTGTGTTTGTATCTTTACTTTCCCACCGGCAAAGTATAAAGGTTCTGGTCTCTTCACATCTTTGTTAAGATCAGTATTGTGTCTTCATGGTTATTTTAGTAGGTATGAAGTTCTATCTTGTAGTGTTTTAATTTGTGTTTTCCTAATGATTGATTAAGTTGAGCAGTTTTTCATGTGCATATCGGTCATTTTTAGGACTTCCTTGGTGAAATATATATTCGAATCATTTACTCCTTCTAAAATTGAGTAGTTTGTCTTCTTATTATTGTGTTGAAAGTCTTCCTTATATACCTTGTGTGTAAGTGCTTTTCAAATATACGAGTATTTCTTCGTGGTCTTTTAATTTTCTTATTAGTGATATATTACTTCAAAAATTTTAAAGTCAAGTTTTTATTTTTATCTCAACATCTTTAAGAGTTTATAACTGTCAAGTCAGCAATATATCCAAACTTGTAAGATGAAGGCATTATTTTGCCCTACCTTTTCCCTCCTGTGTCTGAGTTTAAATAGATGGAAACAGTTGTCCTTGTCACTAATTAGCATTAAAGGCAACTTTCAGGTTCACTGGCTGTAGCTGAGTGCTCCAAGCCCGGTCAGCTTTGGCACTAAGGTGGTGAGTGCTGGAGAGAGTAATTCATTCTAAGTGGGAAGCAGAAAGGACATGCATGATTTTCCTAAGAATCCAAAGTAAAAACTGTGTTTCTGACAGTCAGTGACTTCCCCACTCTCCACCCTTATATAGCAAGTCTTTTGAGAACATTTCTCAACCTTCATCACCGTGTGTGCGCATCTTCTCCTGGAGGGATCACTCCCTGGATGTCTTCCTGGCATGACCGTCTTCCCTGTAAGATCTCATCTGAATTTTGCATTCCAGTGTTACCTCCTGGTAGAAGGTCCCATCCCAATTAGGAAGCATGGGGTAATTGCAGCCAAGTCCCAGTCATTGTAAGAAATGAGGACCTTTTTTCCTAATGAAAAGACCTCATCTGAGAGACCTTAATTTAGATATCATAAAATGTCCATGAAGTTACCATTTAGTGGATTAGCATACTCACTGTACTGTGTAGGTATATTCACCATCTAAATCCTTTTTTTGAACCCAACACTTAAGATTCACTCCTGTTTTATTCTAGAAATTTAAGCTCTTCCATTCAGGCCCATACACTATTTGTTGTGTGTGTGTTGGGGTTGGGGGGGTGTGAGGTAGGTGTCCACGCTCATTTTTATTTTTTTGCATACGTACATGCAATTGTCACAGTATTATTATTTTTTTAAAAGATGGTCACTTTTGGCATAAAACTGCCAAGACAATTTATAAAAATATCAACTGATTATAAATATAAGACTTTAGTTCTGGGCTCTTGATTTTATCCCTTGGATCCATATCATTATTCTGAAGCCAGTGCTGTCCTGATAATGGTTTTAAATCAGGGAGTGTACTTTGTTCTTTTTCAAAATTATTTTGGTCACAATAAGTGCTCTGTATTTTCCTTTTTTTTAAAAAATAGTGTCTCACTCAAAAGCCCAGTCTGGCCTGAAACTCATGACTTTCTTGGCTTAGCCGCCTGAGTGCTGGGATTACAGGCGTGTGCCATTATGCCCAGCTCCTTCTGCACTTTCACATAAAGTTTAGAATTGCCTTGTCATTTTCTGTTAAAACTTGTTGGAATTTTGTTAGGAATAGGATTAAATACATGAGTAATTTTATCAATATTGAGTCTCCTAATCCAAGAATATGGAATGTCTTTGCATTTATTTAGCAGTTTCATTTCTCTCAGCAATGTTTTGTAGTTTTCAGTGCACAAGTCTTTTGTTGAATTTATTTTGACTTTTTTGATGCTATCATGTGTGGATTTATTTTCTTTCTCTTCTGACCATTCATTGTGAGTGTCTAGAAATACAAATGACTTTGTATATTGATCTTATTCTTCTATTTTGTTAAACTCATTTATTATTCAAATAATTTTTTGTGAATTTTATTAAGATTTAAAAGTTTTATACTGGATGTACTTTATCAGCTGAGGAAATTCCTTTCTATTCCTAGTTTATTGGGAGTTTTATTATGATAAAAACACTCTGATCAAGCATCTTTTATCAAGATGATCATGTGATTTTATTTTTTTTTCTACTAATATGTGTACTGGATATTAAATAAACCATGAATTTCCGGAATAAATGCCACTCAATCATGAAATATATTCTGTTCTCTATGTTATGAGATTTATTTACTAATATTTTGTTAAGGACTTCTGCGTGTATGTTCACAAGGGAAAAGAGTTACACATCCATAAGGCCCCTGAGTAGTTGTAACTAGACACCTTCTCAGGCTTAGGATGAGAAGTCAAAACCAGCTCTGCTACTTCCACCATTCAGAAGGCCACCCTTTCTCAGTCTGTTAAAAAAGGCAGGGAGGAAAGAGAGGAGGTGACTCATCTGCATTATTGTTATTAAGCCTTTAGGTAAGTAGTGAGTCAAAACTTAAAAGGGATCAGCCAATAAGTAAACAGATGTAAGAAGGGTGTTACTCACCACAGGTGCAGCCCAGGACCTTGATCAGTGCGTCCCTCACCAGTTACAGAAATGGGGCCTCTTCGCTCACACACCCCTAACTAAATATTCAATGTTTCCTTCTTTGGGTTTTACAAGTGTCCTCCATGGATTTGGGCATCTCTGCAAGTGGTAAAAGGATGATATTGGAAAAAGTCAGGCAAGGTAGTTGAACAAAATCCTATTTGGCAAAAGAAGAGGAGCCTCTGTTTAAATCTGTCTGGGTGCCAATTGGTGCTAATCTGGTAAGATTGCTGATCATAGCACCAAAGCCCTCAACTATTCAGCTGCAGAACTCTGCCTAAGGGGTGCGGGGAGAGCGAGACTGGGACTTCATAGAAAAATGCTGGGAGAGAGTCTTTCTGAATCTGTCTTTCCTTGGAGGCTACTAAGTGGAATAAATGTAATCCAGGTATTGGTAAAAGCCATATGCATTTGCTCTCCTGATGCAAGGAGCTTTCCTTCACACAGTGAAGGAGATAAGAGCAATACTGAGAAGCAGTGACACACACACGGCTTTTTCTACCAGCTGTACATGTCCAACAGCCAGGGTGTCCTGTGGTTAATTCAGTTTAAGCTGGACTTTGTGACGGTGTACTGGAAAACCCCGAGGAATACACAACCTCCTTAATGACAATAATAGCAGGCAGTGGATGTCATCTTCTGAGAGATGACAGAGTTCTACTTGTCTCAAGGAATTAATTGAAAAGATTTTCACCTGTTTTAGATATTATGCCAATGGCACGGCAAACATATTTTTAGAGAATGGAATTCTTGGCTTATATTCTCTTTCAGATGGAAAATCATCTACTACTATGGGGTGAATAAAAGTAGAAAAATACCAG